ATCCTCCTATCCCCAACCTTGCATCAGATATGCAATCTACTGTACTTTTGCGATTAGGTCTAATTTTGCGAACAAGCCTCCAATGTCGACCCAGGCTGACATACGTGGGAAGAACATTCCAGGAGAACACAATGTCCCGATTACATCTTACAAGAACCCTCGATGCCTGGTGGTTTGGAGGGGGGCGGGGAGGGGCGATTAATCTGGCGGTCGATAACAGGCACCATGAACAGCAATGCGTTCAGTGACATCGCAAAAGATGTCTTTAGCTACAAGGCCATTCACCGACGGTAAATAGACAGTATAATTATTGCATGATAATGCTCCTGCTTACTGGTCAAAAGAAGTCTGATGCTAATAAGGTTTGTGACGATAACCTAATTTTAGACCAGACAGCCAGCTTCCCCGTCTGCGGCGCGAGATAGATTTTTATTCCTGCAAACAGACCAGACAAGAATCCCATCTAAAATCTCTTCGCACTGACCAAATAAATCGTCATAAGGTAGGAAAGTACTCTTCAATGCCACAGAAACTGTAATTGGGGCCTGATCGTTATACTGACCGGTCAACCACATACAACTTAATCCTTTTTTACGTCCGAAGGACTTATTGCTGGCGAAAAAGCCAAATAACACCCAACTAAATACTTTTCACGTGTTGTTGCTTTTCCTTATTTTCTCTTCTTGCTGCATTTTCCAGCCTTGTCATCAATCATATGAAGTAATCAACAAGTGGCCTGTAATATAATTTGTTTTTCGTAGCGCTAGCTTTTATTTTAATTTTAAAAACTACTATTAGTCACCAAATAGATCATAAATTATAGACTAAGCTAGGCCCTCTTTTGAATAACGGTCGTGTCTTCGGCATAGTAATTTTCGGTTATATGGATTGCGTAGTCTGTGAGTTACAAGAAACTTTGTGCAGCCCCTCTAGGACATCTCATCAGTTACGTTTCTAATTGCATGTTGCCTACTCTAGGTCGGGAAGTTATTGACAGTCTCTACCTATCAAGTCATACGTGCTGAAGGCAAATAACTGTCCTGGCTTATAATTAGAAACAACCCTCTGCCGGTGAGACAAAAAGCAATCGCTGGATACATAAGTCAAAGACACATAACAATGGCCCAAAAATACGCAGACATTCAGCGAGAATTTCTATGCGTCGGAGGCTCGCTTCAAAATAGCAAGAGCCTTTTTTGTTTAAATATGCTTCCCCTTTTGTGTGGGAACAGCGATGGGGGAAAGGAGGGAGTTACTGCATTTCCGTTGATGGAATCCTGTCGTTTTATTTTGACGTCTGTAGTGGGGTGCGCAGAGCACTCATGCAAGGTTGACAAGTCTTCCCCTTACCCATGCAAAAACCTGGAATGCGAACGTTCTCATTCATAATAGGTTTCGACAAGCATCACCGTTACTAAGTTCACATGGCAGCGAGTGTGGTTTTGTCGTTAATTAAGAGATATAATCGTGAAGTTGTTTAAACACGGTGTAATATTGGATTGCTATTGAGGAGTAGCTAGATTTTGATTCTAAATACAACATGAAAAACAGAAAAAATGTTCATATTATCAAACACATCTTTCCTAGAATAGGGAGAGACGAAAACCTAAAAAAACTCGCCTTTGAGGACAACAACAGTTGAAAATTTCGAACATCCAAAGCTGCATCTGTCGTACATGTGAAGATAATTGTTTTTAAATAATACGTTGGATATACATTTGTGTGCAATCTCGATCAGCACAGACATTATCGCTGTACTTACGGCCATTTACAATTACTAAAAGAAACTATTTGGATTAACTCGGTAAATAGATGTTATACACTAAATTACGAAAAGGTCCAAGGATCTGTGCGGAACAGATTGTATGCTATTCCTTGCGATCGATCAAATATCCCGCGAAGGCCGACAAAGTCAGTTTTAAGAAGCTTAACGAAGAGACTCACCCTGTCCGAGAGCCCTTGGCCTCGGGGAAGAAGATGTGTCTGGATTGGGGGAAGATTTTCTTTAGTTCCTGCTCTGTGGTGTCGTAGGGGACATTGAAAAGCTTTAACTGACAACCCTCCAAGTCGGGTTTACGCTTTGGTAGCCCCCTTGCAATCGTCTCAGCAACTAGGGCCGAAAGGTCCTCTGACGTTCCCATCGTGCAGACAATTCGACGGCCGTCAATTTCCTTGTGTCGGCAAGCATCGAGCACGGTTTTACAGTCATCCGCATTCGAGAATGATAGCATGCATGAACTAGGGAAAGAAACAGATTAATTCTTTTAAGGGTGCTACGACATTCATAGGCACTTTTTCTTATTCAACGGGAGAAAAAATACCTGACCAAAGGAAGTAGGTTCAGGACTAACCAGACAATTCAATCGTCATATAGTAATGCGTACCAAACTATGGCTACTTATACTTTGTAAGTAACTGCTATATCAGAATAAACTCTGCACAAGAGGAAATGTTGCTCCTCGAATTCTATCAGGAAGGAAGGCATGATACACAATAGCGTTTCAACACCGGAGCCATTCGTGACTTTTGCACGGCTCCACTTACCCTTTAGACTTGCCATCTTTTCGACGACGCATAATTACGTGCTCTGCAGTTGGGAAGCTTTCTTCTAACTTCTCCTGTGAAGTTGAAAAGGAAATGTTGGTTATGTTGAGACAGTACTCCTGTTTGTCAGAAGGCAAGAGTTTTGAAAGTTCGGCCGGACTTGGGACCGGTGGCTTGGCTCGGGGCTGTACAAAGGAAGCAACCACCTAAAGAAGAACAATTCAAAAGGACAGTTACAAATCAGATAAATTTCTAGGAAAGACAATGTAAGCAGAAAATACAAGACAAGCAAAATATATGCGCAAAGTCATTAGATCAAAGTCCAAGATGATGCCGCAAACTGTCGGAATGAAAGCATATAAGCGGTCTGTGGCAGAAGATGTTCTGGATTGGCACTCGACTTAACTATAAGAAAAAAATATGAAAAAGAGGTGATGCGGCGACCAGACTCTCTCTCTCTCTCGCCTTCTCTAAAGGAAGCATCAAAAGATCGTAGAGGAAGGAGGCCTGCCGCCTGGAGGTACATATTGGTATTCCCAAAAAAATTCATTTTCCGTTAAGAAAAATACTAACCTTACTGCCCTCGTATTCGAAAGACTGCAGGGCATCAAAGGCTGCGCCGCACTCGGTGGGTGTGGAGAAGGAGAGGAGACCATTGCGTTTGCCGGACTTTTTGAAAAGCTCCAACTTACAACGAAATGGTAGCATCGTCCTGAAGGTAGTATACTTAACAGTTGAGGGTAGTTCTTTGAGAAGGATAGCTGTTGCCTTGCCTCGAAGGTCCTCATTCGTTTTAGATGCGCCTGCCGTGTGGCCATCTTCGCCGCTGCTTACTTGAAAACATAAAGTAGACACTGGTTTGTGAACTTCCTGTATTATTACAAGTTATAAAAGGAGTAGATGTAGATATAAAAAGAAAGATGATAGGTAAATGGTAAAGCTATTTTCTTCTAGGAAATCAAAGCCATCATCCAACGCTAAACGCTCCATAAAAAACCC